AATTGATACACCCCGGCTTACCATGTAGCGGTAGCTTTCGGAAAGGTGAAAACCATAGGGCTATTCGCGATCCGGTGCAAATGGCCTAGCATCATTGCATTGCAAATTTGTATTGCAAATTATTTGCAATACACAAACAAAATACACGCATTTGCATTTGTCATGGCTTGACAAATTTGCAATACCTAAAATCCATAGCATAAATATGCTATGCATTGCATTCATAAACAAAACCAAAGCTGATGCACAAAAATTGTTTTGCAAAAGCTTTACCATGACAGTTTAATAAAGGTCGCTCACAATCCATGGCGTATTTCTGCAATTGCATAAATTTGTCAGCTCTTATGCACCGAATCGCGAATAGCCCTCACATATTTAATACTAGCAAATGACTGGCTTGCTTCGCGACGCCTTATAAGAACTTTTGCGTTGACTAATACGAAAATAGTAAAATAGTGCAAAAACGGTTTGTAATTTAAAAACTATTAGTCTAGGTTGAAAGGACTGAAGAGCAGAACCTTGCTTACTCATAGGCCAAGTATAATAGCGCTGAGATAACATTTGGGTTTAGTACTAATCTCCTTCGATGATATGAGCTCTTATTTCCACCTGTGAGATATCTGCAAGTATTGCAAGGTTGCCGTTCTATAATCCTGCTATTCCACAGTATGGAAGAGTTTTCACGTTTGGACGGGGTCATTGATATTTTTACGGTGTTCTCTCTAATTCAGCACACTTAAAGATTGGGGCTTTATTAAGTCATCTAAAACGTAAATTTATAGAGGGGAATGTAAATATCGTGATTTTAGCGCTATCTACATATGTTTTGGGTTCATATTATTACAGAAGAAATTCTTATCATAAAGTTAATACCAGTTAATCCAGGTCATACAATAAGGACGGGTTCTCTAAATATCTCGACTCCGGCGCCATCTGTCGGCACCATTTTTTGCAAGAGTATATTATACGCTGCAGAGCAGAATTTCAAATTCATGTGACGTATGATTCCGAAGTTATGACTGATTAAAAATTTCACTCCTACGGGCTGAGCCACGCCCCTTTTACAAAAGTATGTCTACTTTATAATAAGCATCTACCATAGATATGTATGTCAACACACCAAATTTCAAAGTCATCTGACCTACGGTTTCGAAGTTAAAGCTGATTAAAAATTCCACGCGCATGGCAGGTGCCACGCCCCGTTGTCAGATATCGTTTTTGTATACCCTAGGTTACGTCCGAGGTCACTCTCTATATACCAGTTGAAGCCCCATGAAAATCCATTCAGTAGTTCCGGAGATTAGTGAGTTCAAACAGACAAATAGACAAACAATCTACAGTTTTATTATAGCATAGATTTGCGCACGGGTATTTAATGTTCGGCTCGCCCGAACTTAGACTTTCTTACTTGTTTCCTATAATTTTCTGGATCTAATGAAGAATCAATATGAATATTCTTATGATCGAACAATGCGTTTTCTCTCCATTGGTTATCGAGATTTCGCAAGCTCAAAATAAATTGAAAATATAACGATGGAATGAAAAAAATTATCGATAACATTTTGAATATTTAGCAGAAAATGCAGATGTGCTTAAGTGCGAAAAACACCACACATGCGGCTTGACAAACCAAGCGAAACACCCCTTTGCTTAAAGCTATTTATATTGTTTATGAGGGTGGTCGATAGAGCTGCCAGATATCTCTGTTGCCAAACCGGGACACTTTAGGACAGGAAACAAACAGGACAAAACTTACGTGCGTAAGGATGTAGTAAAATTTTATTTTAACAGACAAAAACAAAATCATAAAAACATGGGATCATTACAACGTACGCTAGCAAAACAAAACAACTTATCACAACTAAGGCACAGAGAATTTTTCACAATGCACGCACCTTTTTTATTCTTTACGGTTTATACTAAATTCATCAAAAAACATAAAAATAAAATTTCTAAACTCGCGAAAATTTACTAAAACTGCATACAAATTTGCACCTTTCTAATCAGACTTTTTATAAAAATTTTTAAAATGAAGTTTTGCGGCCTATTAAATTTTAGTGAATTTTTGGTATTGTTTTTACTGAGAGTTTCTTCCATACAAACTATGTTCGACAATTCTTTTTATATGGCTCAAAAGCTACATTTTCAAAATTTTTCTAAAGGATTTGATTGGAAATTTTGATCTGATGAAACAGCCTTCGAGCCAATAATTTTGTATCTCATGAAAGAACAAAAAATTTACAAAAAAAGTACAAGATAACATTATTAACATTAACTTGCTTCAAAACTTCTGTCTTTTCCTTAATACATATATTTAATTGTAAAACTCTGTGCATTTGGTATGTGCATACGTATTTAGGTGCATATAATAATCAACTATTTTGCTTGTGGAAAGTTCAACTATCTGGAGATGTAACTATTTCACAAATGAAACCGGTGCACTGAAAGAAATAAGTTTAGAATCAGCGTTCGGACTACTGAAACTCGATTCGGGAGTAAATGACTCGAAAAATCGCAGTAAAACCGAAATCATAAGCAAACGTCAGTAAAAATTATTTGGGTTAAATTTTGCTGCTTCTGACAAAGAGATTACCGTTTTTACTCTCCTATTTTTCTCCTACTTTGCCAGTAGTTTTTCCATAAACTAAAATATAATGTTTAAAAAAAACGTCAATTATCGGACGGCGTATAAATTTTTGACCTTTTGTTAATAAGAGTTCTTGCGAACATTAAGCTTTTAATTTCGACATTAAGTCTGTTCCAGTATTTATTTTTAATGAGATTCATCTCCGAAAATTTTCTTTCGGCAGCAGCACTACTGTGCGGTAAAATAGCTAATGTCAGCTTATACTCTGCCAAATTTCTAAACATACACCTTTCCAAAACATTTTTCTGGTAAATCCCTTGGTTTGGAAAATAAAAAAAGTGATTCCGCAAAAAAGAGGTTAAAGAGCAAAAGAGATAACTTCTGTTACACCTTTCTATACAAAACCTTGGTGCCACAGAAGTTATTGAAGAAAAATTTTAAAAGTTAATTATTTTGTAATATATTCCTAATGTGAATGGAAAAAAGTAAAAAAAAATCCGAGCATATTTTAAGTCACTTGGAGTAGGGAGTAGATTTGTAATTTTAAAAAAGAAATCGGCGTACATCTACTCCGATCAGAGCAAAGTCCGGACGATGTTTACTACATCTAAGAAAGCGCACTATATTTAAAAAAATGCGCATATAGAAGAGCACCAACCCAACTCGTAATAATTTAAGTATACAAATTTTAGTATTTAGTTTAGAAATATTCAATTCAATTCATTCAAATGAAGCGCTTTGCACCTACCGATTGCTTTTACATAATTAAGTTAAAAAAATATTTAAATTCAATGTTGCCCGTAATGGGATTTGAACCCTGACCCTCTTGAAATTGGCAAATTGAGGCAATGCATCTTTGCGCACACAGCTACAGCCAGACATGTAAATGTGCATTCGAATGTTGTGTTTGAATCAACACCATGCGTGCGTGGTATGAAAGTATTATTTTTAAATACGAACATTTTAAAACGATAATCAAATAGAAAATACTCATTTTTACTATACGTCATTTCCCTCAGTGAATTCATAAAATTTTTCTGAATATTACAACGCGTTTCTTCTCTTAGTGTAGTAATTTTTGAGCTTTTATTCAAATTTGCGCAATCAAATCGAAAACCGGGACATTTAAGGTTAAACCGGGACAAATAGTCTAAAACCGGGACATGTCCTGGAAAACCGGGACGTCTGGCCGCCCTAGTGGTCGAAGGTTTGACAAGCCGTTTGAGGGATATGTGAACAAAATTCAAAATTTTTTTGATTTTCTGGACACCATGGTGACGTTTGTTCAAACCGCTTATGTTTTGTATAGTAAAATTGCCTCATTCGCGACGGAATTTTCACCGAATGAGGACGCAAGAGGGAAAAATCTAAGAAAACCAAACTCTTTTACATTGTGAACCGGAAGAAAAATAAAATTCTTTGCTTGAACTCAACATTTGAAAGCACATTTAGATGTATGGCTGTAGCTGAGTGTGACAAGACGCTTGATACAATTGGTTGCTGCCAAGAGGGTCCGGGTTCAATTACTATCAGACGGAAAATAAAATAAATTGTTTTTTCCTCTTAATTACGAAAAAGCATCTGTGCACTTCACAACGACATATTTTATAACGTGCATACTCAAATTTAAAACGAGTTGGGTTGGTGCTCTTTCATATGTGTATTTTTTTTTTAATTTAGCACGTTTTTTTTAATCCTAAAATTATTTTCCCTCTGTGTATGTCCTCTCCCTATGTTTAAAAAATCATCACATTCCAATTTGTATTTTCCGAGAAAAATAAATTCCGTGCCATTGTAAAAAAATTCAAATGATCATAAAAAGTCTAAATTTTAAAATTTTTCAATGAAATTTATGCAGTATATTTCAGGTGATTAGAACTTCATATGAAGAAACAAGTAATTTTTAGCAAAAAAAAAACGACTTAAACTCTCTGTTTTATGAAGAGCCTCTAAGTGCCACCCTAATATGCCGACGTACATATGTACATAGTTAAGCTTTTATCTATTCAACATTTGTTCTCTCAAACTAAAAAGCAATTTGAAATACTGTTAGTTATCTAAGCTCCTGTTTTGTATTCAAGCCAGCATATGCATACATACTTTGAACAAACAATATTTAAGTAATATAAATTACATGCACAATAAAGTTTTTTGAGCGCTCTAATTTTGGATTCTGTTGAATAAAGACATTTGTACAGTCAAGACAAAATAGTCTCCTGACTTTAAACAGTGGTGACCCCGACGTGATCACATTTGCTGACACGTTAGACAAAAACAAGCATTGTGTAACGCGATTTGCGCGTTAATCGAGATTCGCAGGCAGCATCACAGTCTGCCAAATCGTATGATTTCACAGTTCACTTAAACACGGGTTTTCTTTTGCAAGATCTTTTTTCGCCATCCATTATTCAAAATGCCTACCGATCAAGACGTAACATTGGGTGATACTCCGCGACCGCAGAATTCTTTTTTAAAAAGAAAGTGTGACGCTATATTTCGACAAATCGTGACTATTCAGCGTCAAAGTACAAATGAAGCGCTTCAGGCCATGGACCATGCAGAACTTTCGACGCGCATCGAGCTTCTGGATCACATACTGGGCAATTTCGAGGCCGCCCAGACTGGCTTGAAAGAAGAAAATCCTGATGAACTGGATAGTAGCAGCCGTACTGATTTCCTCGCCATCTATGTCTCCATAAAGGCAGCAATCACTCGTGAACTAAAATCACAACGCATAGAGCCACATGCTCATTCGCCCACAGCAGTATTTTCTCCGTATGATTCCCAGTCAGTGGTTGTATTGAAGCAAATAAATCGCGTTTGCCCGATCTTCAGCTGCCAACATTCGCAGGTGCCTTCACGGAGTGGCCAAATTTCATTTCAATGTTTCAAACTGTGGTCGATAATAAGCCAGAGCTTACGAAGATAGAAAAATTCCAGCACCTGCGGTCCTGTTTAAAGGGCAGCGCTTTAGATGTCATTCGTTCCCTGGAAATACGCGAAAGCAATTACGACAAGGCTATGAATTTACTTAAAAGTCGCTTTGATAATAAACGCCTTATTTTTCAGGCTCACATTCGCGAATTATTTGAACTTAAAAGTGCAGAAGCCAACACTGTGGGTAGTCTTCGCGTACTTGTTGACAAATTCACGTCTCACATTCGAGCACTTCAGACCCTAGGGAGCAAGATACACATAGCCGACTGTCTACTCATCCTTATCATGTCTCAAAAGCTGGATCCATCTACGCAAACAAAGTGGGAAGAATCAGCCGCATGCAGTAACATACCTACATGGGAGAGTATGGAAACTTTTCTTGAGAAGAGGGGTCAAACATTGGAGAGCATTAATTTCGCTACGGTACAGAACACACCTAGCGCTAAGGTGAGCAAAACACAGTATCAGAAAAAATCCCTTGTAGTTTCAAAATCCACGCACAAAGTATGTACATTTTGCAAAAAGGAAGACCATTCTATTTAGACGTGTCCGTCATTTATTAAACTCACTGCGGCGATACGTAGGAAAGAGGCCAAAAAGGCAAACCTTTGTTTGAATTGCTTAAAACACGGGCATCAAGCTCAGCAATGTAAATCTTCCAATTGTCGTCGCTGCCTATCCCAGCACCACACTCTCTTGCATTTCATTCCGGCTCAACAGTCAACCACTGATTGCACGCCCGATGAGAAACCTGAGTCAGCTGCACAAGCTACAACACTTGTGTCAAAGTCTAACAATATTTCGCCCGACCCTTCTCTAACCGAAAACGTACTTATCGCAACTGCAGTCATCTTGGTGAAAAATAGCACTGGTTCCTTCATTCCGTGTCGGGCTGTATTGGATTCTGCTTCGCAGTTAAATTTTGTCACATCCAGGTTTGCTAACCAAGTAGATTTGAAAATGTCGAAATTTTCGTACTCCGTCTCAGGTATTGGCGAATCAGACCTTAAAATTAGCCACTGCGCTAGCATAACATTTAAGTCCATGCATAATGACTACTCAACGAGTATAACATTTGCGGTTACTCCCACCTCAACCTAATTATTCCTTTGGTACATCCGACTGGAAGCTACCTGCAAATATAAAGCTTACTGATTCATTGTTTTTTAAATCTCAGCGTGTTGATATGTTGCTTGGGGCTGGGATATTCTTTGACCTATTATGTGTTGGACAAATTCGGTTAAAAAATATACCATACGTTTTGCTTGGGTTGGGTTGTTTCGGGTGGCCAGCAGAAATCATCAATTTCGTCATCGCCAGCAGGTGCGTTAATCGGTAGCGAAGAACAACAACAATCATTGAGCCAAATAGCTCGTTCATTCTGGGAAGTAGACAACTGCTTCGAACCTATCGCAAAAACAACAAAGGAATAGATGGAGTATGAAGAGCATTTTAAAAACAATTATCATCGCTTAGATACTGGAGAGTACTGTGTTTGTTTACCACTAAAGCATAGCCTCGATTTACTCGGGGATTCATATGAGCAAGCACTGAGACGGTTTCTATCTCTTGAACGCCGACTTCTGCGTAATATTGTAGTGAAGGCTCAGTATTCAGCATTCATTAAAGAGTATGCACAACTAAAGCACATGTCTTTTGTTGAGCACCCAATTACAAATACAAAGATTTATTATTTACCTCATCACTGCGTATTCAAAAGCGACAGTACAACAACAAAGCTTCGTGTTGTGTTTGACGGCTCAGCAGCTAGCTCTTCTGGATACTCGCTCAATGAAATTTTGATGGCTGGGCCGACGATTCAACCCAAGCTGGCTGATATTCTCATTCGTTTTCGTACTCATCCCGTAGCTGTAACTGGTGACATATGTAAAATGTATAGGTGCGTTCGCGTTACATCCCCTGATGACTATTTACAATGTATACTATGGAGAGACGATCCAAACAGCGAAATTAAAACTTTTAAACTCGAAACAGTCACTTATGGCACGAAGCCAGCATCGTTCCTTGCTATACGTACAATGCATCAGTTCGCCATTGATGAGAAAAAATCATTTCCTCTTGGGTCTCAAATTGTTTTACGCGACTTTTATGTCGACGATTTGATTACTGGCGCAAAGACTGTTGACGATGCAAGAGCTATTGTTGCACAAACAACTCAGTTGTTGGCGAAGGGCAACTTTCAAATTCGAAAATGGTGCTCAAGTGAGAAAGATGTGCTCTCTCAAATTGCTGTCGAGGATAAAGAAAGTTTTTTAAAATTTGATGACGGAAGTGACAAAACGAAAACGCTTGGGCTTGTATGGAATCCTCAAACAGACACATTTCTATTTTCATTCTCGTTAGAAAAGCTGCCTCCAAAAATTACAAAACGTTTTGTGCTCTCTGTTATAGCGCACTTCTACGATCCACTTGGCCTGATAGGACCAACAATTTGTAAGGCGAAAATATTTCTATAGCTACTGTGGATGGAGAAGGTCAATTGGGATGAGAGTTTGCCAATTTCTCTTCATACTGCCTGGTAGTACTGAACAGTCGAAGAGTGCGGACGTGTTTTTAAGTTCGCTCCGTAGTCATTAAATATTGTGCTATTTAATAAAACAAAAAAAAAAAAAACGAAAAAAAATAAAAATTAGTAAAATAAACAAACAAACCAAATGAAAACAGAAAGCGATGAGTCAAGCTGAAATCCGAGCTCAGAAGCAACGCGAGCAAAATGAGCGCCGGCTTTCAGTTCAACGCAACAACGCATATTTCTCTATTCGGTCCCAGAGTGACAGCGAAAGCGCAAAGTCCAATCCATCGACCACCCTCGAACCCCCTCCAGATTCAGGTCAGCGGACTTGTCCTCCAAACTTACCATTGACGACTCCGATGCCTTGGAGTGAAGAGTGCGCTTCACCTGTGCCGTATCACATTTCACGCCCAACGCTTACATCAAATTCGGTAAGCGATAACATATCCCCAAATATAGCGGCAACAACAACTAGTACAGTGACATGTTTCACTACCTCTATCGCGCCAACAACAACAACAAACTCACCGGTACCTGCCGACTGCACAGCGGTGTCAACAGCCCGGCCGATTCTTGCTGCACAAGCACAAATTAACTTGAGTGCAAGCACTGGCAACAAAGGTAAAGCGCAAGAAAGGTTGAAAAACGAAACAACTAAAAATGCGGCCATACAGACTGGAATGGACCACTTTGTTACAATAAAAAGAAAACTTAGTCCGCAAAATTCAACGGGCAGTAAGACAAAAATAAACCGCCTTACCTCAACTCAGCAAGTCAGTACGAATAGATTTGCACTGCTAAGTGACAATGCCGATGATGTGAATAGCCAAATTTCTGAAGGTGCTGCAAAAGCTACTAATGCCAAACCTCCGCCCATTTTTATAAGAGAAGAGAATCCAAGCGCTCTTGTAAAAAAATTCACACAGCTAATCGGTAGTAATAAGTTTCATATCTGTGTTCGTATGGAAAAGTAGCTTATGTCGAAAGGTTGGCTTTAGTATAATGCGGCATTTCTTTTATTCTTTGAACGACAAGGAATTTTTTGATGAGACTTAAGAAGAATATTGACTTTCTAGTATCGGAACTATTTCTTGCACGTTTATTTGCTAAAAGTTGTTCAACGGCTCAGCGCCAGCGAGTCATTCGCAATCGTATACTGCAAATGCCGATTTATATTAAAGTCAGCCTTTCGACATAAGCTACTTTTCCATACGAACACAGATATTATCCCACTATCTAAGGGAAATATTCGCGAAACTAAAGTACAAATTTATTCCGAACAGGATTTTCGAACAGTGTCCAAATACCTGAATGACACAAACACAAAATTTTATACATACCAACTTAAAAGTGCAAAAGGTCTACAAATTGTAATTAAAGGTATCGAACCAAGCGTTGAAGCTGTGGAAGTTTTGGAAGCACTTAAAGAACAAGGTTTCAATCCAAAAGCTGCTGTGAATATTTTTAATAGGTACAAAATACCTCAACCTATGTTTAAAGTTGAGCTCGAGCCTGAAAACAAACCTCTGGGCAAAAACGATGTGCATCCAATTTATAAATTACAATATCTGCTGCATCGTAGGATAACTGTGGAAGAACCGCATAAGAGAAATGGCCCTGTACAATGCACCAACTGCCAGGAGTATGGTCATACTAGGTCTTACTGCACGCTTCGCTCAGTGTGCGTAGCTTGTGGAGAGCTACATGTCTCTGCCACTTGCACATCAAACAAAGAAGACCCGCGTGCAAAAAAATGTGGTAACTGCGGTGGAAATCACACAGCAAACTACAGAGGCTGTCCAGTCTATAAGGAGTTAAAAAACCGGATCAACCAATGCGTGGCTTCCATACGTACTCATAATGTACCGAATGCCTTTGTACCTTTCCCAAACGAATCCTGACGTCTTCTTCGCCAAAAGAGCCACGTCGCCAACAGTTCTATCAAACACCGTGAATGGCGTCTCGTTTGCAGTGCCTTAAAATCAGGCTTAGAAAACCGTGCCCCTACAAAAACTGCACCTCAAGTTGCGCCGCAAGAACAGCATCCCCATGCACAATATGGTAAACAATCCAATATCGAAGCTTTGATAGCGTCGATGCAACAAAGCATGATGAATTTCATGACTTTCATGCAAAACACAATGCAAGAACTCATGCGAAATCAAAATACGCTGCTCAACCTGCTTGCTACTCAGCAAACAAGATAATGACCTTACTTAAAATAGCCCTCTGGAATGCAAATGGCATTCCTCGCCACAAACTAGAGCTGTCAAAATTTCTTAAGGACAAGGAAATTGACATAATGCTCCTTGCTGAAACACACCTAACTAATAGATATAATTTTGACATTTCGGGATATACCTTTTATTGCACGAATCATCCAGATGGAAAGGCGCATGGCGGAACTGGTATTTTAGTCAGAAACCGGATTAAACAGAAATCATTTGACTGGAATTGCCGAGAATTATCTGCAAGCAACATCAATATGCGTACAAACAAAGCAAGGTGATATTACGCTGTCCGCGGTTTATTGTCCCCCGCGTTTCACGATAACAGAAAAACAGTTTCTGGATTTCTTCAGTTCGCTGGGAGAGCGCTTCCTCGCTGCAGGTGATTATAATGCGAAGCACCCTCACTGGGGCACACGCTTGTCCAACCCTAAAGGCAAGCAATTATATAACGCGCTTATATGTAGAAGAAACAAACTCGATTACGCTTCTCCTGGAAAGCCTACATATTGGCCGGCAGACCCGCAAAAGTTGCCAGATTTGATTGACTTTGCGGTGACAAGGAAAATTCCTCGCGGCCTTATTAGTACAGAATCAGTTGCAGATCTCTCATCAGACCACTCACCTGTACTTTTCACCTTGTGGCATCAGCCGCAAGAAAATGAGTCACCCTATATGCTCACGACAAGGGCTACAAATTGGTTACAGTATAAAAAATATATCAGTGCGCATATAGACCTCGATCCAAATTTAGATACGCCGACCGATATTGAAAACTCCATAGCCGCTCTTGAATCTACACTTAGGGTAGCCGCTAGCATTTCCACACCCCAGAAAGGTTATGTGCAAAATAAAAAATATAATTTAACCAATAGGAAAATTGAAATGCTTGTATTGGAAAAGCGACACCTACGACGGATATGGCAGACTCATAGATCACCAGCATCAAAACAACTGCTCAAGGCGGCCACACATGCACTGACGAGAGCCCTCAAGAACGAGGAACAGTACGCACAGTACCGGTACATCCAAAAGCTCTCACCGACTAGCACAAGCACTCGTTATGGAAAGCACACCACAAGCTAAATGCGCCAATAGAGACCGAAATGCCAGTACGGGACCACAATGGCAAATGGGCTCGGAGTGACGCAGAAAAAGCAAACACCTTTGCTTCTCATCTAAAAAATGTTTTTACGCCAAACCCCGCAACTAATAATTTTCAACTTCCACCCGTACCCAATGTGTCAAAATTTTAGCCGCTGAAATTTGTACCTGAAGAAATTTCAAAAGTAATTAAGGATCAACTGCAACCAAATAAGGCCCCAGGGCACGACTTAATAACCCCAAAAATGATTATTGAGCTACCAAATTGTGCTGTACTTTGCATCTGTATGCTATTTAACGCAATCACTAAACATTGTCATTTCCCTCACCAATGGAAAAAGTCGACTATTGTGATGATACCAAAGCCCGGAAAGGACAAAACGCAGCCATCTTCATATAGGCCCATCAGCCTGCTACCGTGTATGTCGAAATTATTCGAAAAACTTCTTATGCTGCGCATCTCCCCACATCTGCAAGCCCGCAATATAATACCACTTCACCAATTTGGCTCCAGGGAAAAACATGCAACAATCGAGCAGGTAAATCGCATAACAACCGAAATCCGAACAGCGTTTGAAAAGAGGGAATATTGCGCTGCAATATTTCTTGACGTCGCTCAGGCATTTGACCGCGTCTGGCTAGATGGTCTTATGTATAAAATACAAATGCTACTCCCACAAAGTA